AGGATCAGGGGTTGGCAGAGGGGAAACTGGGAAAGGGAATAGCATTTGAAATGTAAATAAATAAAATAGCCAATAAAAGAAAATTTAAAAAAAAGGCAGAGTCTTGCTTTGTTGCCTAGGTTGGGCCTCAAATTGGAGATTCTACTGCCTCTGTGTTTCAAGTGCTGAGATCACTAGATCATTAGCGTATGCCACCAGGCTGGTTATATTTTTACTTTTTACTTTTTTTTTTTTTTTTTTTTTTTGGTTTTTTGAGACAGGGTTTCTCTGTATAGTCCTGGCTGTCCTGGAACTCACTCTGTAGACCAGGCTGGTCTCGAACTCAGAAATCCACCTGCCTCTGCCTCCTCCCAAGTGCTGGGATTAAAGGCGTGCGCCACCAACGCCCGGCATATTTTTACTTTTAAATAACATATAGCATTATACATATTTCTGGGCTATAGCATGTTTTTATTTTTAAGGATTCATTAATTTTATAAGCATGGGTATTTTCCTGCATGTATGTCTGTGTATCACGTACACGAAGTGTCCATGGAAGTTAAGAGGCCATCAGACCCTCCCCCCCACCCCTGAAACTGGAGTTACAGATGGTTGTGAGCGCCACCATGTGGGTGCTGGGAATCGAATCTAGGTCTTGGAAGAACAGCCAGTGCTTTTAGCTGCTGAGCTATTTCTCCAACCCCAATTTTATTTTTTTACTAGAATATCTTTTGTTTATCCTTTGTCAATTGCATACATGCAGACAATGTATCTTTTAAAAAATATTTACTTTTATGTTTATGGGTGTTTTGCCTGCATGTGTGCCTGTGTACCACATACAGACCTGGTACCAAAGGAGACCAGCAGAGGGCATCAGATCCCCTGGGAGTGGAGTTATAAATAGTGTAGTCACTATGTGGGTGCTGGGAATTGAACCAGGGTCCTCTAAGAAGAGCAGTCAATGCTCTTGATAACTGACCCACCTCTCCAGCCTCTAAACCATGTATCTTGAATATAGGCACCCGGACTCTTCTCTCCTATTTCCCTCAGGTACCCCAAACATATCTCCTTCCTCTTCATGTTTTTCCTTTTTGTTGTTTATTGTGACCCACTGGGTCTAATTAGTGCTGTTTGTTACAATGTTAACTAATTAGTGCTGTTTGTTACAATGTTAAACTAATTAGTGCTGTCTGTTACAATGTTAAACTAATTAGTGTTGTCTGTTACAATGTTAACTAATTAGTGCTGTCTGCTACAATGTTAACTGATCTTGTTGTTGATTGAATGCAGACAACTATATCATCGGCAGTACTATCTTACCATCTGGTTTTGCTGAGCAATGGTAATAGTTGTGTTCTTTTGGGGACTTTTAAGTCTATCTGACCAATAACTCATAAGAAGGTCTCTAACACCTGGAACTGAGGTATTCACTTAAAAACTTGTGTCTTACTGGGGAAATAAGTATTGTCCATGCAAAGGTATCCATGTTCAAACTCTTAAAAAATTATCTTTCTTATTTTTTTCCTTCCTTCCTTCCTTCCTTCCTTCCTTCCTTCCTTCCTTCCTTCCTTCCTTCCTTCCTCCCTCCCTCCCTTCCTATCTATCTATCTATCTTAAAATCAGCTTACAAAGTAGTTTCAGCTCTCACCTACTCCTCTCCCATTTACCCTGCCGTTAGCCTCATTTAAACCTTTAGTCCCCCTCTCTCCTTAATAACCCTCCCATCCACGGATCCTTTCTTCCTGAGATCCCAAGTTAAACATACAAATCTAAAAATTCAAAGCCAGGATCTGTATATGAGAGACACTATATGGCGTTTGTCTTTCTGAACCTGGGTTGCCTTACTTAGTTTGATACATTTCTGTTCTCTCCCTTTGGTGAGATTTTTAAAATTGTTTATGAATTTTCATGTGTGCTCAGGCACACAAGTGTGTGGATGCTAGATGAAAGTTTTGCGGAGTTGGCCTTCTCTTTCCGCTTTCGTGACGTTTCTAGGGATGGAACGCAGATCGTTGGATGTATGAGGCAGTTGCTTTTACATGCCAAGTAATATTTGGATGCTGTGTAATAATTTGATACTACAGAACACCAGAATGTAAGCAGGAGTGCTTAAATGTATTTACATTTTAGTTATTTATCTTTATGTGTATGAGTGTTTTGTTTGTAAATATGTCTGTGAATCACAAGCATGGCTAGGCCATTGGAAGCCTGAAGAGGATGTTGAATCCCCAGGAATTACAATTATGCTGGGGTCTGAACCTGAGTCCCCTGCAAGAGCAGCAGGTGCTCTTAGTGGCTTTATGGCTGAACACCTCTCCAGGCTTTCTTTCTTCCTCTCTTTCCTTCCTTCCTTCCTCCCTTCCTTCCTTCCTTCCTTCCTCCCTTCCTTCCTCCCTTCCTTCCTCCCTTCTTTCCTCCCTTCCTTCCTCCCTTCTTTCCTTCCTTCTTTCCTTCCTTCTTTTCTGGTTCTTGGTGGCAGCCCAGGCCAGGACCTCACCATGGTCTTAAGTGGTATTATCACCAGCTACTCACATCAGGGTGCTCCTCACTACCCTCAAGTCCCCAGTTCTGCCTTCTTCACAGTGCCCACACCCTTCTGTTTCTCTTTCTCTTCCATTTCTCCATCACTTACTTGCTCCTTTTCGTGTTGACTGAGATCTCTGAGTGTCTGGGGGTCATCTCAGGATTGGTCTCAGGAGTATTACACCACACTCATGCAGTGTGGCACTGGTCAGGGGTCATCTTGGGCATAGTTGGACCTGCACGGGGCCAGACTGGGTCATCTCAGGCTTGATTCTCACCCCAGTCTTGCAGCCTCAGGCTGAGGTAGTCTTGTCTCAGGGTGCTCCCTGTCCTGGCAGCCAAGGGTCATCTCGAGTGTGGTCTGCCCACTAGGTCCTTTTATTTGTATTTATTTTTATTTTATTATTATTTTTTTTGGTTTTTCAAGACAGGGTTTCTCTGTGTAGCCCTGGCTGTCCTGGAACTCATTCTGTAGACCAGGCTGGCCTCGAACTCAGAAATCCTCCTGCCTCTGCCTCCCAAGTGCTGGGATTAAAGGCGTGTGCCACCACCGCCCTTTAAAGCACTGGACTGGTAGTCTTTTATGGCTCACTCTTTGCCTGGGCTGTGTGGCCAGTCTTCGTGTATCAGCTTCCTGTATGCTAAGACTATAGGCCTGGGCTGCTGTGTTCCTTGAGATTTTTAAATTAACTTAAAGCTATTAGACTGAGATTTAAAAACAAAACAAACAAACAGTTAGATACAGTGGTACATGTCTTTAGTCCTAGTACTCAGGAGGTAGAGTTCTAGGCCCAACAAGGATTACACAGGGAGAACCTATCTCAAAAGAAAACAAGAACCATACAAACAACAACAACGAAACAAACAACGAAAAATAAATTAACATGTTCCTTCTAATATTCTGGGTATGCCCAGCAGAAATAAAAATGATTGAGAAAGAATATCCCCAGCCGGGCGGTGGTGGCACACACCTTTAATCCCAGCACTTGGGAGGCAGAGGCAGGTGGATTTCTGAGTTCGAGGCCAGCCTGATCTACAGAGTGAGTTCCAAGACAGCCAGGGCTACATAGAGAAACCCTGTCTCGAAAAACCAAAAAAAAAAAAAAAAGAAAAATAAAAACAAAAAAAAAAAAAAAAGCGAGAGAGAAAGAATATCCCTTACCACCTTGGGAGCAGTCCAGTGGAAATGGAGGTTGTCTGAGGAGAATAAGGCAGTAAGACTTCTCCTGCACACTCAGCATGAAGAGAATAGTGGGAGCCAGAATGAGTGGGGCTTTTTGTTTGTTTGTTTTGCCTGTTGTATATATGTCTACCACCTGAGCAAGGGCTTTTTCAGGAGGGTTTATTCAAGAGACAGCCAATATAAAGAGGTCTTAAGACTCACATCTTCCCAAGGATACGGTTGAGGGGGTACTTATGGGATAAAGAAACAAGACGGAAGGTAGTGTGTGTGTGGAGAGATGGTTCAGCACTTAAGAGCACTGGTTGCTCTTCCAGAGATCCTGAGTTCAATTCCTAGCAACCATCTGTAAAGGGATCTGATGCTGTCTCTCTTCTGGTGTGTCTGAAGACAGCTACTGTGTACTCATATAAAACAAAATTCATGAATTAATGAGTGAATAAATAAATCTTTAGAAAGGAAAGAAAGAGAAAAAAAGAAAGAGGACGGTCATAGATCACATTGCATTCCACACAGAAGCTATGTAATCTTAAAAGGAACCTCGGGTAGAGGCTTTTCCACCAAGTGCCACTGGGTGGCAGCATTGTCATTCCTTTTGTTTCCGTTTTGCTTTCATCCACAGAATTACCAAAACCTCTCCCTCAAGCCTTAGCTGTCGGACTGTACAGCCCTCTAACCCGCTAGGAGTTATTTCCCCTTCAAGTCTTACGCTGTCAGACAGCACCACTCTTTTTTAGAGCTAATATCTAGCAAGTCCCAGGCTATTTCTCCAAACTCAGCAGACTGAGATACCAATTGTTCAGGATTTCTTTTTAGTTCAGTTTCTAGCATTATTTTGTGTGTTTTTAGCAGCTAAAAGAGTAATTTATTTTGGGGAATATGCTTTTTTACATCTTTATTTCATTCTCTTACGTTGTTTAAAAATTATTAAGTTATTTTGAGGTGATGGGAAAGAGATCCGTTACATTGCCTAGGTCAGTTTCAGACTTGCATTCAGTTCCTAAACCTGACATTTCAAGAGTGGGCCACCATGTCAAGTTAGACTTTCTTTCATCTATTCTATTAGTCTGCAAATAATTAATGAATAAATGTATAATACTTAGATTTTTATGATACCTAGACTCAATTAAGGCATACCCAGAATACAGACTGCTAAAACATTGTTTCTGGGTGTGTGTGCATATGAGGTTATTTAAAGGGGACTTTGGTAAATTAACTGCTAATCTGAATGGGAGGATCCACCTTTTCTGTGGGCAGGCACCATCCAATCAGCTAGGGAACCAGAAAGAACAAACAGGGCAGAAGAAAGGTGATTTCCTCTTTCCTAAACCTGGGACACTTTAATTCTGTCCCCAAGGGCAGAGTCATAGACTCCCAGTAATCTAGGACTCAACCTGTGTCTTGCTGAATCCTTTGGCCTTACTCTGAGGGCTATGTGATCAATTTCACTGGATCTGAAGACCTGGACTTGGACTGAGACCTCAGTTACAGACAGCCTGTCGTGAGACTTCTCAGCCTCTACAATTATGTAAGCCAATGTCCCCAGTAATTCCTTTTCATATATCTATATCTGTTTAGCCTATAGGTTCTGCCTCTCTGGCTAATGCTAAAACAATCTCTGTTGGGTATAAAGAAAGGCTGTAGGGAGAAAAAAATTAATGACATGGTCTCTGCTCCCAAGGCAGGGAATTTCCAGAAGGAACAACAGGTACAAACAAGGGTAATACAATGTTATAGGTGCAGTTAGAAATTGTAAAATGTCTGTTAAGTTTATGTGTATGGATTTGCGTGTCTGTCACATATGCTTGGGTATCTACAGAGGCCTGAAGGGGTCATCAGATCCTCTGGAACTCAAGTTCCATGCATGTGTGGGTTGCCGTGTGTGTGTGCTGGGATCTGAACTTCAGTCCTCTGGAAGAGCAACAAGTACTCCTAACCCCTTAGCTATGTTCCCAGCCCTCTATGGCCTCAGCTCCTTAAGATAATAGTGAGACTGGCACAGAAATACAACCACAGAATGTAAAGGGCATGGTGTGTTCAGGGATCTGTCAACAGCTCTCTGTATAAATAGTTCAACTGAGAAGTTGGTCTAAAAGGCAATCATGGGGCAAGCACCGTGTGCCAAGCTGAGGGACATGACGGTAAATGGAATTCATCACTCATTTTTATTCAGCTTCATCAGAATGAAGATGTCAACCGTGACAATATTTGATGAGAAATTTGTGTGTGTGTGTGTGAAAATACTATGGAAATGAGCAAGTTCTTTGAAGACTCGAAGTACTTGTGTGCTAGTTGAGTTCCTCTTACGTAAGATGAAGGAGAAGGTAGGAGAATTCCTTCGATTGACACAGGATCGTAATACCTAGATGTTTCAAGGACACATTTCAGGTTAAATTTGATAGTATTATATATGTTAAAAAAAACTACAGCAAAGTAGCAGAGCTTATTTATAAAGACTGAGTTTGTTTAACGGGAACGTTTTTAGTTCAACCCCCACAAGACTATTTCCTTTAAGCCCAAAGCAAGGGATGGCCACAAAAGCAAACAAAGCATTCACTGCAGAACACTCCAAATGATCATTAAGCTATTTCAAGGGGTTTGGTATGGAAAATCGAAAGTTTTAAAGTTTACATACAAATTAACGTACTAGACTTTTTCTGTCTTCTTGTGTATGTTGTCTTGTTGTTCATAATTCTACATATGCTTTGAATACAGCCCTCTCCTGGCAGGCTGCAGAAAAATAAAGGATTATCCGACTTAAACCAAAATGTAGTATCAAAATGTACTCTTTCATAGAAAATTGGGTTTATCTGAAGACGGTGAGGGGTGATGCTATTTTCTCACTGTGTTACTGTCTCTGCCTCCAACTCGCGATCCCCAGCCTCCTGAGGGTCTAGGACGGTGCACATCACTTTACTACTGGGTTGAATCATTCCCCAGTGACGTAACCAGAATTGTGTTTTGGGAAATTTTTAGAGCCACAGGTCGGTAGGTGGAAGGGGAGAAATCAACAGGCGGTTTTAGGTGCTGTGTCTGGAAGCAGATGACGAATACTCACAACCTGGATTACTGAGGAGGGGAGGGAGGGATGGTTCTGATAACTTAAGGAGGCTGAAATATTAATGTCTATGTGTGGGAGAGGAGGAAAGAGATTAAAATAACCACCACGTCGTGGACTCTGGCGACTGGGTAGAAGAGGATTTTCTTGAACCTTTGTAGGTGCCGAGAAGTGTGTTAAATATTGACTGACTAGATGTAGGTTGGGAATGCATGTACGAGGGGAAGGACAGACAGCCACAAATCGTGATGATTTCAGTTCCGAACAGGTTGAATTCAAGGCATCAGCTACATTTGAGCTTCTTTCCTGGTCCTTACACAGTGTGCAGCGATGCAAAGCATTAGTGTACACTGCATTTTGGGGCATATCGTATGCTTACTATCTGTTCTCTGTATTAATTCTGTGAATTCCAGGGCTGGGTATGCAGCTCCGTGGTAGTGCTTAGCATGTGTGAGGTCTCTCATTCGAGCCCAGCGGTTAGACAAACAACTCCCCAGAAAGCAAAGACTTAAGTCCTGAGAGTTCAAATAACACGTCTACTTTATGGGACTCTTGATGATTTTAGTAACTCGTTCAGGGCCTCCTTATAAAGCGAGGGCTCTGGTGTTCAGCAGGCAGCTGGAGATCAGAGGCTAGATGCCAGGAGAGAGATCCGAGCTGAAATCAGAGCTTTGGGGTCACTTGAATCCAGGTCAGGATGTCGAGATCACCAGATATATGAGAAGAGAAAGAGGAACAGGATAGTTCTGTTAAAGATACTCATGTAAAAACAGCAGAGGAAGACAAGCCAGTAAGGGCCAGAGAAATCGATGAACAGGAGAGCTAAGAATGATTTCACAGGAGCCAAGAGAGAGGAGAGCTATGAATGTGTCCATCGGTTAGGGCAAGTGGGAAGTCATTAATGATCTTTGCTAGATCTGTTTTATGGAATACTTGGGACAGAAAGCTTGTAAAGTGAGCTGTAAAATCAGCAGGCAGAGCCGGGCAGTGGTGGCGCACGCCTTTAATCCCAGCACTTGGGAGGCAGAGACAGGCAGATTTCTGAGTTCAAGGCCAGCCTGGTCTACGGAGTGAGTTCCAGGACAGCCAGGGCTACACAGAGAAACCCTGTCTCGAAAAACAAAAAACAAACAAACAAAACAAAACAAAAAATCAGCAGGCAGACCTGTTGACCTGTTACCTGTTTTCCTGGTTTTTCTAACTGTTCTATGCCAGATTACCAGTGTGTGTGTGTGTGTGTCTGTGTGTGACTGTGTGTTTGTATGTGTGTCTGTGTCTGTATGTGACCGTGTGTCTATATGTGTGTCTGTGTGTGTGTCTGTATGTGTGTGTCTCTATATGTCTGTTGGCCATGTACACATTGTGATATGTGTGGGAGGATCCAGAAGACTTGCCCTCCATAGGTATTCTAAGGTATGAATCAGTGAAAGGAACTCATCCTACTTGAGTTGCTTTGTCATCGCTCTTCTCTGTGCCAGATCTCACAGTGGAGACTGTGACTGCTCACTCACCTGAGTGTGATGGGTCCAATTGGATCATGGGTCACAGAGTGTCCAGGGCGTGCTCACATCCCTGGAGATATATCCATAGTCATTGTCTTAGTTAGGATTTCTATTCCTGTACAAACATCATGGCCAAGAAGCAAGTCGGGGAGGAAAGGATTTATTCAGCTTATACTTCCACACTGCTGTTCATCACCAATGGAAGTCAGGACAGGGACTCAAGCGGGTCAGGAAGCAGGAGCTGATGCAGAGGCCATGGAGGGATGTTACTTACTGGCTTACTTCCCTTGGCTTGCTCAGCCTGCTTTCTGATAGAACCTAGGACTACCAGCCCAGGGATGGCACCACCCACAGTGGGCCCTCCCCCTCTTGATCACTAGTTGAGAAAAAGCCTTACAGCTGGATCTCATGGAGGCATTTCCTCAACGGAGGCTCCTTTCTTGGTGATAACTCCAGCTTGTGTCAAGTTGACACACAAAACTAGACAGCACAGCCATCGAATGCGAATAGATCCTCAGATGGGGGTGGGACTTTGTGACTTCCTCCTTGAAAATATTTACTGTTCCTCTTTCTCTCATTGTTCCCCAACGAGGGTCACCTTTGAAGAAGGATGCTCAGTGGAAGAATTGCCTCTACTAGGTTGTAGATTGACATGTCCGTATGTATGCATGTGCACGTGTGTGCTTTAAAGATTTGTTTATTGTTGTATATCTGTGTGTACGTCTGAGTGTATGAACATATGGACACTGCGTATGTGTTGGTGGCTGTGAAGGTTCAAAGAAGGTATTGGAGCATCACCCAGAAGTAGACAGTTACAGTATTACAGTTCCTTTCTGAGACAATCCTCAAGAACACCAGGGAAGGTAGATCTTCAAAGTGGGCAGAACTTGAGGCAGTACATATGGTTGTGCGCTTTGCTTTGAAGGAAAAATGGCCAAATGTGCAATTATATACTGATTTATGGGCTGTAGCCAATGGTACGGCTAAATGTCTAGGCATGTGGGAGGAGCTAAATGTCATGCGGGAGGAACGTGATTGGAGAATTGATGGGAAAGGCACTTGGGGAAGAGGTATGTAGATATAGATCTGGAGGGCAGAGGGTTCTTGAGGGCATCTCTTGGTGTTATCACATCCTGTAATTAAAGTCAGTGGGAAACTACACACCATCATCCAGGAAGGATAATAAACATTTCAGGAAAGAAGATACGCGTTCCTCCTTCAGGTAAAGGACTAAGACCTGCTGAGGTTCTTGCAGAGAGTAGAAGAAACACACGCAGAATGTTATAAACACCAATTAAGGCCACACGACCCATCACATAAATGAGACGTGCCACTACTGTGAACACTTCTGTCTTACTAAGAATACTACATTTCCAGAAACTCACAGCTGGTCACAGCGCAGAGAAAAAGGTGTCTGTGGAGTTCTCAGGCATAGATGAGACATCTGTGTCCTACCTCCTTGCCTAAGAGGAAGGGAATATCTTGGAAAAGGAGGCTGAAAGGTTGTGGGAGCAAGAGCTGGTAAAATCTCCAACCAAACAGTGCCCTCTGGACATGACAGCAGCACTGTCGCACTCATGAGCTTACCACTTCTGTGGTTGTGTGTGGTTGACACACACAGACTCATGGCCATCAATATTCAGCATGGAGTCATGGGGGGCTCACGAGTCCCCCACCCCTAATTGGGGAGCTACTTATATTTGGCTGTTGAGAGAGAGAGCAGTTTTCTGTAGGGGTATGTTGACTGTCCTACAGTGAGCGACTCTACACTGTACATATGTGGGCAGCATTAATTGGATTTTGGGGGTTATTTAAAAAGGGAGGTGCTGAAGAGAAGGAGAGAGGGAGATGGAGAGAGAGAGAGAGAGGTGAGAGAGAGAGAGGAGAGGTATGTCTGAGTAGTTAAGAGTGCTGGCTATTCTCTAAAGGACCTTGATTCAATTCCCTACACCTACATGGCTGTAACTCCAGTTCCAGGGCATCTCATGCCCTTGTCTGACATTTGCAGGCACCAGGCACATTCACACACACACACACACACACACACACACACACACACACACACGGATACATATATATTTTGAAACAGACATAAATTGGGAGGAGGGCCAGGGGGTAGGGGAGGCTCTGGGGGAGGAGTTAGGGGGAGAGGTGAGATGTGAATATGACCAGAACACATAGCATGCATGCATGAAATTCTCAAAGAACTAATGACAATATCGTTTTGAAAACAGCAGCCAAGTGTGGTGGTACACATGTTTAATCCCAGCACTTTGGAGGCAGAGAGACAGGCAGATCTCTGTGAGTTCAAAGCCAGCGTGATCTATATAATGAGTTCTAGGAAGTCTCAAGGCCTTTCAGGACAAACAGATTGCTGAGGTGTTTGGCACTGAGTCTGTCTGCTGTGCTGTCATCACAGACAGTGAGTATTGCATAAGCCAATCCAAACATCCCTTTTGTAATATATTATCAGTCTACTGATTCTTTTCCTCTAGAGAACCCTAGAGATACATAGTGAGACTTTGTTTCAAAAAACTATAGACCAGAAACAAACAAAAAACTCAAATAGTGCATTTCTAGTTCTATATAAGATATGTGGAATCATGACATTGTTGTCTTCATTTGGAAATGAGGCACAAAATGAGGCACGGTCAATCGGATGTCAAGCTGACCAAGGGTGGAATTTTGGTAGTTAATCTTTCAGGTTGTCAACTTGATCTGATCTAGAAACTAAGAAAAAATGCCTCTAGGCTGGTCTGTAAGGGATTAGCAGAGGAAGGAAGCCCTTCCCTCAGAGTGAGTGGCACCCTCTGGTGAAGGTCTACACCCAAATCTGAGGGAGAAACTGTTGGCTATTCCTCCTCGCTAACTTGGAACTCTGCTCTCTTGGCCAGCATAGATTGAACACCTGAGGGTCTCCAGGAAGTCTCAAGGCCTTTCAGGACAGATTGCTGAGGTGTTTGGCACTGAGTCTGCCTGCTGTGCTGTCATCACAGACAGTGAGTATTGCATAAGCCAATCCAAACATCCCCTTTGTAATATATTATCAGTCTACTGATTCTTTTCCTCTAGAGAACCCCAGTATGTGTGTATATAATGTAGTTTGAACAAATTCCCCTCCATTCACCTCTTTTCCCCTCTCCCATGGAACTCCTTCCCCTAACAAGTTCTCTCTCCAACTGTCTTGTCTTTTCTGGATGAGGGACCTTCTGAGTGCTATTAGGGTGCATGTACTAGCATGGGTTGGGGGTTATTGACTGTATCGTGGGTACCTGGTACAGGGACCCCATCGATTTTCACACTAAGACTGGAAATTCAGCAGAGAATAGACTGTGAATTTGTTAATTTGTTGTTTTCTGTTGTTTGGGGGTAGCATCTTGATTTGTAGCCCTGGTTATCTTTGAACTTGTTGTAATCCTCCTGCCTTAGCCTGTCTAGTGCAAGGATTACAGGCAATATGCTACCACATCCAGCTCAAATGGACTGTTCTGTTGGTGATTGTATGTTAGCACCTCACAGTTTCCCAATGTCTGACTCAGAGTAAATGTTTGTTGAATGAAAATGATGTTTGAACTGACTCTCATAATACATAATACATAAAAGACAATATATAATATACAATATACAATATATAATATAATTAATATGTAATTAATATACCATATATCATATAACACATGACACATACAATATATGATATAATATGATATATAATATGATATAATATGAAATATGATATATAGATATGTGATATATGATAATATGTATTATTTTCTAAGTGGATAAGAGTTGGGAAGAAAAGAAATATGTACTGAAGAAAATGTAGAGGTAATGTAATTGACTGGCTATACAGTGTCTTTTGTACCAGTCAGGAGGGAGGCAGAGAATCATTTGAACACAGGTGTTCAGGGCCAGCCTGGGCCACACAGTAATGTTGTTGAAAAACCAGAAAAACTTATCCTCTGGCGCATACTGGAATCTGAATTGTATAGATTCTCATCTTGCAGCCGTTGTGGGGGGGTCTCATTACGTGGTTATCTCATTACCTCCTCCCTTATCTTTCACCTTTAGTCACGGTGACTGCATCGTTCAGCCAACACTTAAAGACCGACCAAAGATGGTGAGCAGCTCTCCAGGGCTCTATATAGAGGCAGGCAACTGTGAACACTAACCTCTCCTTTTCTTTTAAAAATTGTTTTGTAGTTAGCCTGTAAAGCAACTATGGGCTATCATGGGCTACTGCATAGCATTTACATTTTGATACATTTAGCATTACACTTCATTATTTGTCTCCCCCCACCCCCCCTTTTTTTTTAACCGCTTCTCCCTGGTCCTCTTTCTCCCTGAAAAGCTTTTACTTTCACGTCACATGGGTTCCATTACCATTTTGGAGATAGTGTCTCATGTGACCTCAGACTTCCTATGTATTAGTTGAGATGTGTGCTAACTAGGCATGGAGCAATTGTGATATCTCATGGCCAATGTAATGAATTTCGACAGACCTTCAGGCGGGTCTATATTTACAAATTGCTTTTCTTGTATTATTTCACCCAAACTATTGAGTCTTCTGATTCCTCATCAGCAAATCCCTGACTAATGTATTCTCAGTTGCCACTGTAAGATCCTAAAACGTTCTTTTAACATTTATTTTATGTGTATAGATGCATTGCTTGCATGTGTCTGTGCACCATGTGATGCAGTGCCCTCAGTGACCAGAAGAGGGAGTCAGATCCCCTGGGACTGGGTTATAAATGGTTGTGAGCTGACACGTGGATGCTGGGAATAGAATCTGGGTTCACTGGAAGAATAACCATTGCTCTTAACTGCTGAGCCACCTCTCCAGCCTCCCCTCTCATGCTTTTATTGAGACAAAGCTAGGAATGTTTCTTTGTAGCATACGTAACTTTTCTTTTTTAGATACTATCTTGACATATGGCTGATACTCTGGCCTCCCTCTTCCTGTTGCTGGAATCGTAGGCATTTGCCTCAACACCTGGTATTGTGTAACTGTGTATACAACTCCTGTTAAGATGTCTGTCACACCTTTTCTGCCTTCTCTCTGTTTCTCTTACTGGCAATCAAGACCAGGGCCGGTGCAAGTGGTCTTCTACTAAACCATATCCAAAGCCTTTTGTGTGACAAAATCTATTCTCTTTCTATTCAAGGACATTTCCTCATAATGTGGTTCTACCTGGTGACTCTTGTGGGCCTTTACCACCTTCTGCGTTGGTATCGTGAGAGGCAGGTGGTGAGCGGTCTCCACGACAAGTATGTCTTCATAACGGGCTGTGACTCCGGCTTTGGGAACCTGCTGGCCAGACAGCTGGACAGGAGAGGCATGAGGGTGCTGGCTGCATGTCTGACGGAAGAGGGAGCCGAGCAGCTGAGGAGCAAGACATCTGAGAGGCTGGAGACAGTGATCCTTGATGTCACCAAGACAGAGAGTATTTCAGCAGCCACTCAGTGGGTGAAGGAGCGTGTTGGAGACAAAGGTACAAAGAAGTATTTGCACTTTTAATTTGTTTAGGCAGGAATATGCAAAGCTGTATAATGTGTATATGCCAAGAAACAGGGTTTAAAACATTGGCTTTGCTGAGCAGTGGTGGCACACGCCTTTAATCCCAGCACTTGGGAGGCAGAGACAGGTGGATTTCTGAGTTCGAGGCCAGCCTGGTCTACAGAGTGAGTTCCAGGACAGCCAGGACTACACAGAGTAGCCCTGTCTCGAAAAAACAAAACAAAACAAAACAAAACAAAGCAAAACAAAACAAACATTGACTTTGTCACTTGAAGGACTGTCATGACTTTTTTCCTTCCTACCTTCCTTCCTTCCTTCCTTCCTTCCTTCCTTCCTTCCTTCCTTCCTTCCTTCCTTATTTTTTCCTTTTTTCTTTTCTTTTTTTTTAAAGATTTATTTATTTATTTTTTTATTTAATGTATATGAGTACACCATTGCTCTCTTCAGACACACCAGAAGAGGGCATCAGACCCCATTACAGATGGTTGTGAGCCACCATGTGGTTGCTGGGAATTGAACTCAGGACCTCTGGAAGAGCAATCGATGGTCTTAACCGCTGAGCCATCTCTCCAGCCCTCCTTCTTTTTTTCTTAAAATCTTCAATATAGTGATATTTATTTCTTTTTATTTAGAAATTCATTCTTCAATAATTTCCTGCAGTATATATATTTTTCTATTCTTTTCTACCCCCCAACTCTTCCAGTCCCTCCACCAACACAACTTCACATTCTTTCTTTCTCTTAAAAATAAAAACAAAAGGAAAAAGCCACTAAAAAGAAGGCATCTGATCCATGCTGCATGATTTCACCAGAGTTCAGGCCCCGCCCTGACTATGCTGATGTACTCAGTATCACTCAACTGGAGAAAACTGATTTCTCCTTTCACAGCATTTACCATTTGCTAATAGCTTCTCAGTTAGTGGTGCGACTTTGTGCTGACTTCCCTCCTTTGTGCAGGGATCTAGTCTGGCTTGTGTCCCCTCCCCCTCCCCTCCTTTCCTTCATCCTCCCCTTCTCTCCTCTCTTCCCTGTCTTCCCCTTCTCTTCCCCTTCTTCCCCCTCCTCCCCTCCATCTTTTTTTCTCCTCCCCTCCTCTTTCCCCTCACCCTCCCCCTCCTTTCCCTCACCCTCCCCTTTCTTCTCTCCCCTCTTCCCTGTCCTCCCCTCCTCTTCCCCATCTTCCTCCTCCTCTTCTCCCTCTTCTTTCCTCCTCCCCTCCTCTTCCCCCTCCTCCTTCTCCTCCTCTTCATCTTCCCCCTCCTCCCTCTCCTCCTTCTTTTCCTCCTTCTTCCATCACTACCAATGAAGTTCAATTTGTTTTGCCCATATTTTTTTTTTTTTGCATGTGTAACCGTCCACTGGAGTTTGGTCAACTTAGCAGGGGCTACACTTCCAGCAGCTACCAATTGCCATTAATTCCTTTGCTATGGGCAGAATTTCATGCTCACCTCTTCTCTCCATGCTGGAATTTTATGTGGTAGAGCTTGTGTGTGTTGTCACAATAGTTGTAAGTTCATGTGTTCAGCCTTCCTTGTAATCACCTCCTGCCTCTGGCTCTTACACCCTTTTGCCCCCTTCTCTGTAATGACCCTTGAACTTTGAGAGGAGTGGTATGATATAGATCTCTCATTTAAGTCTGGGCATTTTTTTTGTTTTGTTTTTCGAGACAGGGTTTCTCTGTGTAGCCCTGGCTGCCCTGGAACTCACTCTGTAGACCAGGCTGGCCTCAAACTCAGAAACCCACCTGCCTCTGCCTCCCAAGTGCTGGGACTAAAGGCGTGAACCACCATCACCCGGCCTTGTTACGGGTGTTTTACCTGCATGAATATCTGTGAAACCAGAAGAAGGCATTGGATCCCCTGGGACTACAGTAACAGAGAGTTAAACCATCCGTGTGGGTGCTGGTAATCAAATCCAGGTCCTCTGGCCTAGAACCCTTAACTGCTGAGCCATCTCTCTCCAATGTCCAAGAGGTTTTTTGTTTTTGTTTTTTAGATGTAGGTTATTTAGATTTTATTTCTTCTTTAAGGTATGAAACAAAGGCTGTTGTTATAATCTTGTGAAACCATACCTGACTTCCCAGACCAAGGTTTTTGTTCCATATTCTCCCCCACTAAACTTCAAATAGTACATAAGGTTTTCATCTCTTTTCATCCCTTTAGTTGTTCCTCTAAAACATTCGGCTGCTTACTTAACTTATCAAGGGCAATTTCCCCCTTAAAGTATCTTATTTTTTGTGATTGCCTGTATGATATGTGTGTGTGTGTGACATACATATGCACTGGTGTGCGTGTGGAGATTAGAGAGTTTCCATCTTTACATGGGCTCCATGTAAACCCAAGTCATCGGGCCTGCTAGGCACACTTTACCTACCAAGCCGTATCTCATCAGAGACTTTTCTTGTGTTATTGATCTTATTATTATCTTTGTTATTATCAGTTTTTCTTGACACAGAGTCTCACTATGTAGCCCTGACTAGTCTGGAACTCCTATATAGACTAGGCTGGCCTTGAACTCACAGCATTTTTCCTGCCTGTGTTGCCTGAGTACCCAGATAACAGGTGTGCACCTCAATGGCCACTTTCACCATTCTTTCTTTCTTGAAGCTTCCGTCTAAAGTGACTTTCTTCCTAACTGAACATATTCCTTAGAGTTTATTTTTTATTTTGAAAAATATGTATGTATGTATGTATGTATGTATGTATGTATATGAATGCTCTATTTGCATATTAAGTCTGCATGGCGGAAGAGGACATCAGATCCCATTATAAAAAGTTGTGAGCTACCATGTGTTTGCTGGGAATTGAACTCAGGACATCTGGAAGAGCAGCCAGTGCTCTTAACCTCAGAGCCATCTCTCCAGCCCTGAGTACTGTATAAACCTCTCTCTTTCTCTTTCTCTCTCTCTCTCCCTA